ATCTTTGACGTAATATACTTTTCCCCATTTCTCTTAATCTCTCTGGCATATTTGGTTTATTACTCTCTTTCATTAGCTCGCCTTCACTTTTTATTTTATTTTTATTGCAATTCACTCTCTCAGAATCTTCTTCACCTTTTCAATTTCTTTGGTTTATTTTCTCTTCCTCGCATTATCGTAGCTTTGCGACCATCCAGCACCTTTACGACCTTCCTCCCTCACTGTCCCACTGTGTTTTATCTCCCTCTCACTTCCAATTTCCTCTCCCATTAAATTAAAACACCGGCACTTTAAACTCATCTTTGCCAGGTAATTGATTGAGGGATGTTTCACCTTAGCTGGTTTTATTTTTATTATTTTTATAGATTTTATTTGACTTCATGGAGTTTAGTTTTAATGAATTGTGGTAAGTGGAAAGTTGGTGGCATGAGATGTTTTACCGAGTGAGACGTGGAGGTCAATTAACGTAATGGACGGCTGTTGATTGTAGCTTGTACTCGTTTGTGGGGTAAGTGTAGTTAGTGTGTGTGTGTGTACTCACCTATATGTATTCTATAAGTTCTCGGATCTCTGTGGCTCATCTGTGTCTCAAGTTTCCAGTTGTGCTCTACTTGTTCTGTTAGTATTCATTGTGAACATTTTCTATTTTTCCATAACATTTTCCCATAAGAATTGCCTGTGTCTGCCATGTATCGTCTCTGTTCTATTTTATCCCTTTCTTAGGTTCAGTTCTTTATGTAATTTTGGAACAAATCTTGCTGTTAACCACTATACCTTTTCATGTTTCCTTATTCGTTTTTAAGGTGGGTGACCTATCACACTGCTGCATAATATGGCAGGTCTCACGTAGATGGTGTACACTGATCCGAATGCTTCTTCACTGAAGTATGTGAAGGTCGTTTTAATTTTTACCAACTTTGTGTATGTCAAGTTATGCGCATACTATCATATAATTTTAATGATGTGCTTTAATATACGATTGCGAGTAAGATATTTATTTAATTAAAATATATATCGACAGCTTTAAACAAGAATTCATATTATTGAAAATTAGGAGAAGGCAAGTTGTCGAAAATGCATGAGTTTAAAAACCAAATCCTCCAGCAAATTGGCAACAATAGGATAAATCCACTCATAACAGACTTTGGACTTGATCCACGCTATCCATTCACTGCCGTGAGGCCAGTATGCTACGAGACTCGGATTCTAGACGTTACACTATTGCAGGAAAACTATTCATCGACTTCTTTGGTCCAGAAGTCCACAAATTGTTGGATAGTAGAGTGCAAATGATAAAAACGGGAGACCCAACGATTATTTAATATCGCAGAGGGACGTCTACTCGAAAATAGATATGAGTGGGACTTTACCATTCTGATTCGTCACTGGTGTTGAAGATGAATTGCTAGTCACTGCGGGGCGACCGGAGCTGTATACTTAGCGGTACAGAGGGCGGTTGACTCCAACATGTGGTGTTGGAAACCTCTGATAATCTGGAAAGTCATCGTATCCTAACTTTCCACCGACTGAAGCTTAAAAATTTCCTGTCGGTAGAAGGCGCCATAATGTTATTGAAACTCAATAGGTGAAGATACAGTAATCATATAAAGTCCAAGAGAGGCAAAGAGAGCAAAAGACCATCAATGAAATAGAGGGGAATCCAAAATAGCTTTTCTCCTTTGCAAAATCAAGAACAAAATTATATCTAACATTGTGGCCTTGCGCGTGAGAGATGGATCTTTTACCGATGATGACAAAAAATGAGAGAAATGCTGAGGATGCGCTTCTCCCTTGTTCGGTTACTATCAGAATATCTGGTTTATTATATTTTCTACGGTGTTCGAAATGAGTTATTCCTGAAACGTGAAATTTCAAGTGTTGCATCTATTGTTGATTAACATTAAATAGTCGATAAACAATATCGTGTGAGTCATACCGGCTGGTATCTGTATTGTAATGGTTACCTTGAGGTTACCTTGAGACGATTTCGGGGCTTAGCGTTCCCGCGGTACGATCCTCAACTACGCCTCCACATTGCTGGACTGGTCAATCAGGCTGTTGGACGCAGCTGCTCGCAGCCTGAACACTGTGAGGGGTCGACCAGTTATGGCCCTGATGTGTAGTAGAAGCGTGTTGAGCAGTCTCGGGCCTCTGATGTTGATAGAGTTCTCTCTCAGAGTACCTTGTGCACCTCGGCTTTTCATGGTGACCATTCATAATTCACAGTACACTTATCTTATTATCTTGCAGTAAGTTCGTGGAATAAGTGACAGTAGTGACCGCAGGGGACTGTTCTTGACCTTTGTCATGCGTAGTGCACTGTTATGAGCCCCTATTGTGTGGTGTAGTGTACCGTGATACTCTTATATGAACCTCTATCGTGTCTTAATGAGTGTCTACGTATGTGCCTTTGTCATGTGATGTTCACAGGCAGTTATGCACATGTCACCACGTTCCGCTAGCACGCGGACGGCAGAGTATTGTTTTGAACTGGGTGTTTTTGGTGTGTTGTTAAGAGCCACTGGTATCAGCCAAGTAGAACATTTATCGCGATGGCAGTGACTGATAACCGACTGTGGCGCTCGGAAGATTATACACTGGAAGACTGTAGGGTAATAACTGATCATAGCTAATAGGCTATAAAGTGACTGGCAATCTTTGAGCACAAAGCACACCTTCATAGGATATCTTATCCTCCACTTCCTCCACCCCACTCCCCCCGTTTCATCCACTTTTCATCCACCTCATTTTATTTTTATCGCTAATTCCCCACAACACTTCCCCTCTCGTCTTTTAATTTCTCATTTCGTCCCTCCATCCCACCTTCCGCCAGACCTTCGTTTCCTTTCCACCTCTTCCATTACGAAAACAACGATCAAAACAGTGGCGTTTCTTGCAGTGCTTCTCCAGCCTTGTCTTATCAGCGTTGAGCTCCGTCTGTCTCCGTCTTATCTAGTGTTCGCTTAATCTAATCTTACCATGCGACGCTATCTTACTCTATTTCTTGATCTCTTGTTTTTACTTTCCCTGACTGGCGATACTTTCTCATATTTATCCATTTATTTCCTTTTATCCAGTTATTTCAATTTCCATTTTCTAACGGGTTCCCGCTCATTATTTGGAAAACGCCTTTTCGTACTGACAGACTGACAGCACCTAAAGTGGGGTGTCGTAAACTGACAGCATATCCAGGTGATCAGAAACTAACAGCGTACCTATGAGTTTAAACTGACAGCATTTGTGTATGACCAGAAACTAACAACACGAATGAACACAAACTGACAGCACTTACGTATGATGACAGTTTGACAACTTACGTATGACCACAAACTGATAACACTTACGATGATAATCAAGCCACGCATCAGAAAATGAAGAAACGACGCAGTTTCTTCATTTTCTGACAGGTCGGAAAATTATGCCTCTTAAGTATTTAAAGAACAGATTTTATGTGTGCCATTTTATGAGTGGCCTACTTTTTACACTTTTTGTCACAACTCGTGTTCTCTTGTGAAGTCATTTCCGTGTGTAAATTTGGAATCAGTTCCACTAATGTTTTCAAGGTGAAAATTTAATGTTTCTGGCCTGCACTCATGAAAATACAGATTTAAATGCTTTAAGCGGTCCCAAAAATTGATATGTTTTATTAAATGGAATCAGGTAGTCAAATATTACGGCACGTTCTCCTGGTCAGGAAATTCTTCAGCTTTGACTGGAGGTGTTAGTGTACAACAATACTCCACCCTAGTGAGCGGTATTTTAGTTTGTCTCTTTGTGTCTGACATCAGTGTGAGAACAATTACTGTAGCAATCATAGTATCTTAGGAGGACTAAGCTTTTCACAGATGGGTAGTCTGCCTTTTACTTTACTGACTATTAGTCTTTGGGTTCCATAGGGAAGGAAATTAAAGCTCCATTTTCTTACTTTGGGAGTAATTTATTTCACGCTCATTTTGTGTTAAATTACAATATGGTCACACGTGTCCTCAATGGCATCTAAGGCCATGCCATAGTGGTCCAATGAGAGGCAGGGCGCCTTGTTCTGAACCCAAGTTGTCCTGGGTTATGTAGACGCTGCGATTCCACGTGTTTTGTGATCATAGTTCTTAGCACTCTTTCAAAGATGGTTATGATTTAATTTAATTTCGTGCTTTCTTGCTCTAATTTCGTTTTTGCCTTTCTATAATTCCTATGATCAATATCCCCGCGGCTCGGTCTCTGACTAGACCTCATGGAACATACCTTGAGCATACCTGCTAATTGTTGTGCCATTTGCCTGACGTATGACTCACAGCCTGGTTGATCAGATATGCTTTGAATGAGTTTATGTATAGAGGAGGGTGTTCAAAAGATTTAGGCCTCTAATGCTGATAAAGTGTTATCTCAGAGTACCTATTGCACCTCTGCTTTTCAACAGGGGTATTTTGCACATCCTGCCATGCCTTCTGGTCTCATGAGGTGTTGTGTGTGTGTGCAGATTTGGAGCCAGAGCTATGTAGCAGCAAGGGAAGGTAAGAATTGGCCTAGAGGAGAGTGGAAGTGCAGGTAATATATGGGGGATGGGGATGGATGAGTGCCTTACCTTACCTTTAAGGTTGGGGAAGGAGTGGAGGCAGTCTTTGGAAGGATGAGGAGTTGGGGGTTCAAATAATGGAGGGGAAGGTGTGGGGTCAAGGAAAGGGAGAGTAGTAAAAAATTATAGAAGTGTTAGGTAGGGGTAAATAGAAAACAAGGGTAAATGAGGGAGGGGGCAGGGCTAGGGAGGTAGAGGTGTAAATATACGGTAAGTTGTGGAAAGGAATGGGTTACGGGTAGTGGATATAAGAGGAGGAAGAAGGCTGTGAAAGGGAACAGGGCTTTGGGACAAGGTGAATAGGGGAAGGTAAGGTAAGGTAAGGTAAGGGTGGTAGGGGAATGGGGGGTTAGGAAATGGAGTAGTTAGGAAGGGGGGGGGGGGAGGGCAAGTTGGTGGTGTTATCAGTGTTAGTAGTCTTGTATTCGTCAGTATGTCGTCGTCCTTGGTGTGGGTGTCAGCTCGCTCCAGTCTCCTCGTCTCACCCCTTCAGTCTGCCCAAAAGCCTATACATCGGTTAAGGACTTCGTGTTCGTTGCGGCTTCAAGCGTCAAGAAATCATAAATATTTGTTCCAGAGATCGTGAGGATTTTCTAGCTGAAGAGGTACTGAATTGTTTATGTGTTCTGCTTGATTGCATAATGTTGTGAAGCCTGAAGTATCCGGCTAGGGCTCGTAGGTCGCAGCTTTACATAAGAGCCTCATTTCTGTTAATTAGGAATCCTGTAGAGGTGCTTTTCAAGTTCTCTCGTTAACACTCCTAGTTTAAATATTAACCCTTATATTTAGAATGAGGGTGTCGAGTCGTGAACGCTTAATGTTTCAAAGAGTTGTCTCTTTGAGTACCTATATCACCCTACTCTGTAAAGGGACGAGTTGACATATTCTGTCAAGCTTCTTTGTCTCGTAAGGGCTCATTTCAAGTGCTAATTTGGAACAAGACCCTCTAGTCTTTAATGAATCTCTCTCTCTCTCGTGGGCATTCCAGAGATGTCATAATACCATTGAAACATTTCGAAACCGCATTTCCTCGATGCCAACCCATTGTACCGGCACACATGTTTACCGGTAAATCCGTCGTCAGTGAGTATATCTTTCCTTGTCCAAACACCTCCGCGCCGGAGGAACATAATGTGTGTGCATCTGCACGCGGCTTAATCTTACCGAGAGTGGAAGGTGCTGCCAATTATCATCGCTTAACAAGGGTTACAGTAGGTGGCCAACTTGGGACGCTGTAATAGGATGCATGTAGTTTAGTAGGGCTGTTTTATCACGCTAATTACTCCCCGAAATTCTTGTTAAGAGTAATGCCGAAACTTTTATAGTTATAAATTGCCTGTTTTATTCATTGCGCCCAGGGTGAGGTGCCTGCTAATGCCAGTTCATCCGAGTGTAATGTTTAGGTGGGAGGAAAACATGAAATTTAAAAGGTTGTTTTGAATTAGTTTAGAGAAATATTTAAAAAATACCACCTCTGGTGGTATTTTTTTTATATCTATTTGGTATATTTGGTGGTATATTTTTTTATATTTATATGTTTTTATTATATCAACGATATATATACATATATATATGTTGTACCATATGTATGTATGTATATATATACCATCAGGTATATATATATATACCTGATATCTGCTTGATGGGGTTCTGCGAGTTCTTCTACTCCCCAAGCCCGGCCCGAGGCCACGCTTGACTTGTGAGACTTTGGTCCACCAAGCTGTTGTTTGGAGCGGCCTGCAGGCCCACATACCTGGCTGGCTGACTGGACAGCACGCTGGACGCGTGATCCTGTGGTCCCGGGTTCGATTCCCGGCGCCGGCGAGAAACAATGAGCAGAGTTTTTCACCCTGATGTTCTGTTGCTTAGCAGTAAATAGGTACCTGGGAGTTAGTCAGCTGTCACTGGCTGTTTCTGGGTGGGCGTGCGTGTGTGTGGTGTGGGGGGAAAAAATAGGAGTTAGCAACAGTTGATTGACAGTTGAGAGGCGGGCCGAAAGATCAGAGCTCATCCCCCGCAAGCACAACTAGGTGAATACACACACACACACACAATGTTATCACACCTTTAGCTAGAATAATATATTAATGGATTAATAGAATATTTTTAACAAGGATTTGAGTGAGGAATTTCTAGACATTCTTTGTTAATAAATATCTAAATAAGGCGAGCATCAGTAATATTATTTGGATTTAAACGTTTTTAAAGTCTTTACAGCATGGGATTTATTTGTTTCTAGCCTTTTGTCCATTTATTTCTTATTTTAACGATAATTTTGTTTGTTTTACAGGTGGAGTAGCATGGTGAAGGACACGAGGCGCGCGGCCCCCCCGGCAAGATGACCCAGACGATATACTCCCGCCCTCACCCGCGGGGACGCCCACCTCCGCCCCCGCCCCGCCCACACCCAACTGTAGTGAGGAGGACGTGTGTCAGGTGGCAGCATGTAGTGGTGGCAGTGGTAGTTGCAGTAGCAGGCATCTGCAGGCGTGTGGTGGGAAATGGGGAGGAGTCGGTTCGGTTCTCTGCCCCACAGTACAATGCCAGCGTTCCGGAGAACGCGCTTGGGAACACAGCCGTCGTCAGCGACACCATGATGGGTGTTTATATCAACGATCCAGCCCTGAAGATCAAGTATCGCATCGTAGATGGCGATAGCCAAAATTTTTTCCGGGCTGGGAAGCGTATGGTGGGCGACTTCTGCTTTTTGGAGCTGCGGGTGCGCACTGGAAACCGTCATGTTCTGAACCGGGAGAGTCGCGATCAGTACCGACTGAAGGTGAAGGCACAACACCGCCGTCACGATGGCAGTAAAGAAGACTTTCCCGGCGCTGTAACCGAGGTTGTTATTACCATCACAGACCTCAACGACCTCACACCGTTCTTCCTGCAAGATGAGTACCGCGTGCGCCTCAGTGAGGACACGCCCCTCCATGCCTCAGTGGCGCGCGTCAAAGCCGAGGACCCAGATGATGGCCTCAATGGCCAGATATATTACAGTTTCTCTGACCGCACGCCAGTGTTTGCCATCCACCCTACCTCAGGCGTGGTCACCCTGACACGACCCCTCAGCTTCCTGGAGAAGGCTGCTTATGTGCTAGTAGTGCAAGCCCAAGACCGTGGTCGCCGGCAGCACGGAGGTTGGCCCTCAGAAGCCAGACTTTATATTAATGTGACGGAGGAAAATGTTTACGATCCACAAATATTAGTGGTAAAGTTGCCGGAATCTATGCCACGTGCCCACTTGGCTGTAGTTGCCATTATCAATGTTGTAGACCAGGACCGTGGCCCCAGTGGCGAGGTGAGGTCATTAGAGATCGTAGAAGGTGACCCTGACCGTGTATTCCGTGTCCTGCCAGGATCTGGTGCTAATGAATTTAACCTGGCAGCCCTCGACACCATCGACTGGAACGATTCTCCGTTCGGTTTCAATTTAACATTAAAAGCTACAGATGGAGGCAATCGGCCAAGGTTTAGCTATAAAGTGGTACGTGTGGCCGCACCTCCACTTCCGCAGCAGGAGGCAGTGTTTACTCAAGAGGTGTACGAAGCTACTGTTAGTGAGATGGCGCCTGTGGGCACCCGGGTGCTGCAGGTTGGCTCCTGGCTACCAGGAGCACAGCGCCGTGTTGAGTTTAGCTTACTAGCAGGCAATAAAGGGGGGCAGTTCCATATAGATCCCTTTTCAGGCGTCATCACCACCGAAGCTGTCCTGGACGCTGAGACCCGCACTGACTACACACTGACTGTGGGTGCAACAAGTCCATCTCTCGCCCTACCGCAGCAGCAGACTTCCGCCAAGGTAATAGTGCGAGTATCTGATGCCAACGACAACACCCCTATGATAGTTGCGCCTCAGGGGATTGTGCGTGTGGACGAGCACCAACCTGCGGGTACCTGGGTGACGAAGGTGAGGGCACAAGACTACGACTCCGGAGAGAATGGTTACGTCTCCTATAGTTTAGCTAACGCCGACGATGTGCCTTTCACAGTAGATCACTTCACAGGCGAGGTGAGCACCACCCGCGCCCTAGACTACGAGACGGAGCGGCGCACCTGGCGGCTGCTGGTGCGTGCCTCGGACTGGGGCTCGCCCTACCGTCGCCAGAGCGAGAAAGTCATCACAGTACATGTGGAAGGTGTCAATGACAACAGACCTCAGTTTGAGCGTGTTGAGTGTACCGGGTACATAGATCGCCTCACCCCTTCAGGAACAGAAATATTCACCCTCTCGGCTGTGGATTTTGATCAAGGGGAGATAATCACATACAGAATTGTGGGTGGCAATGACGATCGTTGCTTTGGTCTGCATTCCACCACAGGCGTGTTAACGCTGGAGTGTGACTTACAGGATCTAATGGTCTCTGAGCGAATAGTCAACGTGACTGCCACAGATGGACTGCACTTTGCTGACACACTGGCACTCCGTTTTCAGCTGGTGAGGCAGCAGAGCCCATCAGCCGACTCATGGGCGGCTCTGGACTGCAGAGAGATGGGTGTAGCTCAACGCTTAGCCGAGCAGCTGGCGCGCGCCGCCAAAAATAACCGCCAGGATGATCCCATTAGTCTGTTGTCACCGCCACCACCGGTGCTGAACGCCCATGCACCTGAACTTCTGAACGTGCCGCTGGAGGTCCGCGTGCGTGAGAACAGCGATCCGGGCACAGTGGTGCTCAAGGTAGATGCCAAGGATGAGGACAGCGGCTACCCGGGCCACCTCGTGTACGTCATTTCATCGGGAAACGAAGAGTCAGTATTCACGATGGACTTGGAAACTGGCTCCCTGACGGTAGCGGGTCTGCTGGACCGAGAGAGAGTTGCTCGTTATAATCTCAACTTGACCGTGTACGATCTGGGTAAACCGCAGCGATCGGTATCCCGGCTGGTCGTTGTCACACTCGTCGACGAAAATGACAATGCACCCAACTTTGATAAGCCAGCCTACAGTTTTTTCTTGCCTGAAAACGTGGCCAATGGTACCAGCGTGTACGAGCTACGAGCTCAAGATCCAGATGAGGGCATAAACGGTGTGGTTACTTACAGTCTAGCAACGGATACGAAAGACTTTAGACTGGATCCCGTGACTGGGCGATTAAGCGTAGCATGGCCCTTAGACCACGAGACCCATGATGTATACGAACTACGGGTGGTAGCTACAGACGGCGGAGCACGTTCAGCGCATGCCTATGTCACTATCCAAGTAGCCAACATCAACGACTGTCCTCCTGTGTTCCCCACGGAGCGATCAACGGCCGTTCGTGTCCCCGAGGACCTACCTGTGGGAGCCCTAGTTACGTTAGTAACCGCCCACGACCCCGACTCTCCTCGCCTGCGCTACACCCTGATGGGCGGGCACGAGGGCATGTTCGAGCTTGACGCAGATACCGCAGCGCTGCGTCTGGCCACCAAACTGGACTATGAGACCCGGCCTGCCTATAACATCACAGTCCGCGCCACCGATGACGGCACCCCGCCCCTCTCGGCCACCACTCACGTCATCGTACAGGTAATGTATGGTTTTTCTGTAGGGAGCATATACCATTGGATTTGTTGCTGATACAATTATAACATTTTAAGTTCACCTACAGCTATATATATAGGAAATTACATGTTAAGCCTGTTGTAGTGACGGACAGTGCCTTTACCTGCAGAAAATCTTCATTCATTTTAAATGTTACATAAAAAGTATAAATTCAGTATGAATATTGCTATAGGAAAATACTTTTTTTGAATTTTATGAAAACTCAAATGCAAGCACATTAAAAAAATAGCAGAAAATAAAACCTGAGAAATAGAAGAGAACCGATTGGTAAAATACAAAGTAAAAGTTAGTTTTTCCTGTTCTGGGCGACATGTAAGAGCCACACGGGGCGTCAGGGGAAAGAGAGTAATTTGTCAACAATCTTTCACGATGCTGCAATAAATACAGGACTTGAGTGCAGCAAATGAGAAAATAGTTAGGTATGGTGTGTTATAATAGTAGAACCATGTGTCGTACATATTACCCCCCTAACCCTTCTCTCTCTTTGTCTCGTGTGTGTGTTTACTATTTGTGCCTGCAAGATCGTGTTGTTAAATCTTGGAACCGGCTTTTCTAACCTTCGGTTTTCCGCTGTACCAATCCCAAACTTAATTTTCTTTATCATATATTCTGCAAATATCTCTCTCTCTCCCTCTCTCTCTCTCTCTCTATCTCTCTTTATATCTCTATATTTCTCTATATCTCTATCTCTCTCTATCTCTCTCTATTTCTCTCTATATCTCTCTCTATATATATATATCTATTCATATCCCTCTATATATCCAAGTGGTTGGGCACCATATATCTCTATCTCTATCTCTATCTCTCTATCTCTCTCTCTCTTATCTCTGATCTCTCTTTCTCTCTCTCGCGGTCTCGCTATATAGTCGCAATGACCGTCCAAGTTGGCACCATTTTCCCTCCATCCCATCACTAATCCTTATCCTGATCCCTTCCCAGTGCTATATAGTAGCAATGGCTTGGCGTTTTCTCCTAATCGTCGTCGTCGTCTCTCTCTCTCTCTCTCTCTCTCTCACACACACACACACACACACACACCTGTTGATTGACGGTTGAGAGGCGGGACCAAAGAGCCAGAGCTCAACCCCCGCAAACACAACTAGGTGAGTACACACAACTTCAGCTGGACTAACACAAAATCCTGGGTGTCAATACCTCTTCTCAACTCACGTCAGCTTGTAGTGTTATCATGGATGCCTACTACTACTACTACTACTACACAATCCAGGCTTAAGGGTAGGGCTTACCTGTGGCCTCTGGTAAGGCTATGTATTATTAGGGGAAGCCATATAAAGACTATATGGAACTTGGAAGGGATATATGAGGACGAGGATCTGGGATAGAACGGGGGATAGGAATGTAAAGGGAACTATCAGGAGAAAACGCCAAACCATTACTACGTTATAGTAATGGAACTTGGTATAGTACTTGGAAGAGATCAGGATAAGGATTTGGGATAGGACGGGAAAGGAATGGTGCCCAACCACTTGGGCGGTCGGGGATTGAACGTCGACCGGCAGGAGGGTAAGAATGGTAACCAACCACTTGGTTCGTCGGCAATCAAACACTAACCTGCAACTAGCGAGAGTGGCTGGGTACATATAGAATGAGTTCAGGTTGAATATTATGTACAGTAGAGTAAGATAGACTAAGGCAATGTGAACCACTCACCTGTCCTGATGCCCTTCTCCCCCGCCGCACCCGCGCCTCTACCCTCAGGTGGTGGATGTGGACGAGAATGTCCACGCGCCGGTCTTCATGAAGGACGTGGAGCAGGCCCTGGTAGCGGAGTCGGCTCCTCCCCACACCCTCGTGGCCACCTTCAGCGCCGTCGACGGCGATCCAAACCCAGCAGACGCCGCCATCACCTACTCCTTGGTGGGATCCGAGGGGCGCGGAGTGTTCTACATCGACCAGAAGGGTGAGTGTCTCTCTCGTGTTGATGTTTGAGGTGTTTTTGGCCCTCTCTCTTTCTCTCTCCTCGCCAATACAGAATTGAAATATCATTTATTTGTTTTATGTATGCTCGGTTTCTCACTTGTATTTGTTAAGATTGAGCTCCAACTCCTGGACTCGGCGTATGAAATTTGGGGATGAAATTAGACAAAAAATTGGAATTAAAAGCCCGACCGAAAAACATCAGGATCACAACCATCATGCTGGCACCGATTAACTCAAAAAAACTGTTTTTCTTACCTCTGAAACTCAAGTGTAAAGTGCTCTGGGTTAGCACCTCCAGCTCTGGGTTCTGAGTTGCCACCTCCAGCTGTAGGTTCTGAGTTGCCACCTCCAGCTGTAGGTTCTGAGTTGCCACCTCCAGCTGTAGGTTCTGAGTTGCCACCTCCAGCTGTAGGTTCTGAGTTGCCACCTCCAGCTGTAGGTTCTGAGTTGCCACCTCCAGCTCTACGTTCTGAGTTGCCACCTCCAGCTGTAGGTTCTGAGTTGCCACCTCCAGCTGTAGGTTCTGAGTTGCCACCTCCAGCTGTAGGTTCTGAGTTGCCACCTCCAGCTCTACGTTCTGAGTTGCCACCTCCAGCTGTAGGTTCTGAGTTGCCACCTCCAGCTGTAGGTTCTGAGTTGCCACCTCCAGCTGTAGGTTCTGAGTTGCCACCTCCAGCTGTAGGTTCTGAGTTGCCACCTCCAGCTGTAGGTTCTGAGTTGCCACCTCCAGCTGTAGGTTCTGAGTTGCCACCTCCAGCTGTAGGTTCTGAGTTGCCACCTCCAGCTGTAGGTTCTGAGTTGCCACCTCCAGCTGTAGGTTCTGAGTTGATAGCTCCAGCTGTGGGTTCTGGGCATCTTGGATTCACACGTGAGAAGCCATCTGGTTTAATTCTCAAACCAGGTTTCTTTCACCATGCCTGTATATCACTTTCGAGAGATGTAGATATTATTGCTAGTAGATGTCACCAAGACAAGCACAGTTGTGATACAATGCATGGTAGAAAACACTACATGTAATAATTGATACACTGCACTGCACTGTACTCGTGGATGAAGCCCTGTACTCCACAAGTAGAAAGTATCACAGGCATTTAAGTTCAAATTCCACTCGGACTTAAGACTTGATTCTTAAGTGGTCCGACATTTGTAATTGACTTAGTTTAATAACTTAGAAGTAAATTATTGATAGAGTAATTTTTTTGCTATACGTTAGTATCAGTGGTGCAAATAATGTGCTTTATATAGTCCAATTATTTAATTTGACTGGACGGTATCGCGATGACATCGCTTTTTTGCAGGTCGACGTTCAATCCCCGACCTTCCAAGTGGTTGGGAATCATTCTTATCAACCTACCATTCCCAATACTTTATCCTCACATCCCTACTAAGTGATCTATTGTCGTAACGGCTTAGCACTTTCCCCTGGTCATGAATTATGGCTTATATGCTTAAGACTTTTGTTAGGTAACTTGTGTAAGAGCCGTAAGTTACAGTCTTTTATGTTCAAATCTGAAGAATCGTCCAAGTCGCTGCTTTCTGTGATTTCCATCTGTGCGTTGGTATATTATATCTGTAATTGTTAAAGCTTCACAGAACACCACCAGTGTGCATTTCATCATCCAGCAGAAATCCGTAAACAAATGAACTGTATGATGACTTCATTCACTTGCCGTTCAACCATCCCAATCTTGTCTAATGGCAACCTAATTCCATCCACTACGTGTATCGTCCTCTCCCTCCTTCGCGCGACACTCTGCCTGCATTTCCTCTACTGAGGACCTCCAGCGGAGATGAGATAACACTTATCATCACCTAATCAGTGTTAAGTGATGAGGATATCGCGGGTGATGAGGGCGTCGGGGCTCATAAGCTGGGAGTGTGAGGTGTGGAGAGAGGGATCATAACCTCTCAACACCTCCCGCCATCACCGCCGGCCTCACACAATCCGGCGCTGGCTAAATATGGTGAGGTAAAAGTCTCCCTGGTGTCAGAGTGAGAATAGAGAAAGATGGCTATCTTCCCCCGTGTGTGTGTGTGTACTTGCCTAGTTGTGTTTGCGGGGGTTGAGCTCTGGCTCTTTGGTCCCGCCTCTCAACTGTCAATCAACTGGTGTACAGATTCCTGAGCCTATTGGGCTCTATCATATCTATATTTGAAACTGTGTATGGAGTCAGCCTCCACCACAACACTACTTGATGCATTCCATTTGTTAACTACCCTGACACTGAAAAAATTCTTTCTAATGTCTCTGTGGCTTATCTGGGTACTAAGTTTCCACCTGTGTCCCCCTGTTCGTGTTCCACCCGTGCTAAAGAGTTTGTATTTCTCCACCCTGTCAATTCCCCTGAGAATTTTGTAGGTGGTTATCATGTCTCCCCTTACTCTTCTGTTTTCCAGAGTTGTGAGGTTCAGCTCCCTTAGCCTTTCCTCGTAACTCATTCCTCTTAGTTCCGGGACCAGTCTGGTGGCATACCTTTGAATCTTCTCTAACTTCGTCTTGTGTTTAACGAGGTATGGACTTCAAGCTGGAGCTGCATACTCCAGGATTGGTCTTACATAAGTGGTATACAGGGTCCTGAACGATTCCTTACGCAAGTTTCTATTGGCAGTTCTTATATTGGCCAGTCTAGCATATGCCGCTGATGATATCCTTTTGATGTGGGCCTCTGGGGACAGGTTCGGTGTGATATCGACCCCCAGATCTTTCTCTCTATTTGACTCTTGCAGGATTTCACCTCCCAGATGGTACCTTGTGTTCAGCCTTCTGCTCCTTTCGCCTAATTTCATTACTTTACACTTTCCTGAGTTGAACGTTAGCAACCATTTTCTAGACCATTCCTCCAGTTTGTCCAGGTCGTCCTGTAGTCTTTGTCTATCTTCATCTGTTTTGATTTCATTGATGTGTGTGTGTGTGTGTGTGTGTGTGTGTGTGTGTGTGTGTGTGTGTGTGTGTGTGTGTGTGTGTGTGTGTGTGTGTGTGTTTGCAAGCGTTTATGATTGTATGTATATCGCTCTATCATTTCAGGCTTCAAAATGCCAGGCTTCAAAATGCCAGGCTTCAAAATGCCAGGCTTCAAAATGCCAGGCTTCAAAATGCCAGGCTTCAAAATGCCAGGCTTCAATCTCTGCAACATGTGAATTTTATTATTTGGGAGATGTACAGTTTATTTTACAGTAGAACACAGTCGTCTCCTTTGTTCTTATTATTCTTAGTTTTTCATTATTGGCAAACATTGATATGAAGGAGTTCTTAGGGTATATTCATTCCCATTCATAACCTCTCACCGCTCCACTGGCTGTGACCCATTCACTCCTCCTGTGGGGAGCTCCCTCTCTCAGCTTACCGTTAGTTCTCTTCCTGATACACCAGCCTGTCATCTTTTTATTTTTAGCTGGAGCAGGCATCTTCTGAGAGTGTCGGAAGATTGTTAACAATCAAGGAAGAGGTAGTCTTCCTATCCCTCTTCTGTTTAATCACTGTCATCTTATAGTGAAATCCTTAATAAGCTAGTCAAGTAGGTTTTCTCCTCCTTGCTGATATTTGAAGATAAAAGTCAACTGTTCGAAGTTTTCTGCGAGTTGCCTTCGGAACAGGTTCTCTAGTTTCTTGCCAGGAGTACTTGTTAGTCATACTGGTGAGTAGTTCAGTGGCACGTGTCTCCCTCTTTTCTAATATATACGGGCACCAGTAACTATTTTCCAAAGCCTGTTAGTTCTTTCCTTTTTTAGCATGGATTTCAGGAACTCTAGACAATCCTACAACTGCTTCCCCAATAATTCAAGGTGTGACTGAGACTATGGCATTTATGTATTTCTGTATTTCAAAAGTCCATCAACCACGATAGCTAGTAACTTCCTCTCATCCCTCTGATATTGAGCGAGCAAGAGCCGAGGGAACATGTGCTGGTGAGAAGTTAGGGACCGCAGCACGCAGCTTCAGCAGTGAGCGAGGCAGGTGATGGAAGGCGGAGCAGGTAGAGTGCTCCCAGTCATGTCAATTAATTGATCAAAGGCCGAGGGGTAATGTGTCACTGGTTGTGGTGATGGCTGCTGCTGCTGCTGCTGCTGCTGCTGCGGGCCCTGAAAGTGTTTGGGAACCCTGCAAGTGTTTTCGAGGCCGTGCAAGTGTTTTGGGGGCCGTGCAAGTGTTTGGGGGCCGTGCAAGCGTTTTCGAGGCCGTGTAAGTGTTTTGGGGGCCGTGCAAGTGTTTTGGGGGGCCGTGCAAGTGTTTTGGGAGCCGTGCAAGTGGTTTGGGGGGCATTCAAGTGTTTTGGGGGGCCGTACAAGTGTTTTGGGGGCCTTGCAAGTGTTTTGGAGACCGTGCAAGTGTTTTGGGGGCTCTCTTGCATGTGTTTGGGGCCCCGACAACATTAGCGTAAACCCACGGTGGGGGAGGGGGTGGGGGGATCGACGACAGCCACGGAACGTCATCTGGTAGATGATCAATTGTTTATTCCATATAGGTCCCAATATATTGCGTTGAGCCCACTAAGGCCGGGGATCCACTTCACCAAATAGGGAGCAACAAATTAAGGCCCCGTATTGTGACTTCACCCTTTCGTAATAATAGGAAAAAAAAAATGGGCGTCGTCAATGGAATCAATTCATATATGGAATGAAAGAATAATCCTGAAAGAATGTCTAGACGATGGACAAATACCAAGTGAACTAGAGCGGGTAGCTCTAGTCTAGGATCTCTAGGAGGATCTCTAGGATCTCTAGGAGGATATCTAGGAGGATCTCCAGGATCTCTAGGAGGATCTCGAGGATCTCTAGATCAGAGGTAGGCAAGGTGGAGGTTTGGGCGATGAGGGTCTGAACACACTCCAGGTGTACTCCAGGAGAGGTGGAGGGACCCGGGGTGTTACTCCACTCGTGGGCGCCAGACACATACATGGTCATCCGGTTAATTGTTACATATCAAACTTATCAATGATCTTGTCACATTCAATGAAGAACCATTGTGTTTGAAATTATTAG